GCTAGAACCAATTATTTGCCAAGTCCTTCTGGCAACTTGGTGACATGTGACCTGGGCAAATTACCTCACTTCCGTGAGTCCTGTGCTTGCTCTGTTTTGGCACTATGCAGTTTGAAAGTAAAGCACTCAATGACTCAAGTAGCACTCTCTGTCTTAGAAGAAAGTTTAAGGGCCACAAAAGTGATAATGATTTGGATCCAACTGTTTAAAGCTCATAGTCTAATGAAGGAGATTGATTCACTCATTATTCATTGATTGAATAAAGTATAAGGCAGAATGATAAGGACTGAAATAAAAAATGGAGTCACAAAGAAAGGAAACCTCTTTTTAAATTAGTGGTAATAATGCATTTAGACTTGCTGATGTTTATCACAATACCAGTTACCAACTAATTCAATAAAGGTGCCCTATATTGGGAACTAGAGAGATGACTCAGCCATTAAGAGCAATGACTGCTCTTATAGAGGACCCAGGTTGGGTTCCCAGCATCCACATGGTGGCTAACAACCACACGTAACTCCAGTTCAAGGTTTCCAACACCTTCTTCTGTCCTCTGCAGGTATTGCACTCACGTGGTGCACTTACATACATGCAGGCAAAGCACTCATACACATAAAAATAAATAAAATATTTTAAAAAGATCATTGGCTGCTCTTGCAGAGGACCTGGGTTCGGTTCCCAGCACCCACATGGTGGCTGGTTCCAGGGGATCTAATACCCTCTTCTGTCCTCTGTGGGCATTGCATGACACAGATACACTTATGCACATGCAGGGAAAACACTCGCACATAAACTAAAACTTACTAAATAAAGTAATATGTTTTTTAGAAGGTAGCCTGTACTTATCAGTAAGTGTCTTCTGTATGAGAAGAATGGCATAGGGCCACATGGAATTGTGTAGATTATCTACAGTGTCTCTAACTGATTAACACTCATGAGAAGTAGTTTCTATACATTCTGTATGTGTGAAAGTGGTCTGGAGAGGATACATGGAGTGCATCACCTGAAAATAGACTTTGCAGGGAGGGAAGATTTTACATAATTAAAATTGAAGAAGAGATATTGTGAGGCAGAGGGTAGAAGCTAATAAACATGTTTAAGGAGTTGCCATAATTAGACAACATTCAGGAGTTCAGGGTAAGGAAACCATGGGAAGATCCTTAATGACTGAAATTGTAAATGGGAAAAAAAAATAGATGATGGGGAAGATACACTAGAAGTAGAGGCTGGAAAAACTATGTGGAAGGGAACTACCAGGCTCTCTTCTCTTTCAGCAGAAGAATGTAGGAGGCTAGGCTAAGAAGAGGAACTTATATTTTCTGGGTATGTGCTGGCATGGGACTGACCTGTTTCAAAACTATTAGACTCGGACACTTAAAGCAATTTTCCCATGGATTTAGGTCTCTCTGTCCAACTCTCAGTATTATCTGCATGTTTGGGATATAGATTGATTTTTCTAGGCAGTGTGATTTTTTTAATGAATTTGACTGGTTTGTATTGTATGTACAAGGCCAGAGTGTTAATTTTCTCATCATTGTCACCAAAACAACTTAAGGAAGGAAAGGTTCATATTAATTCGTCATTTCAGAGGATTCTGTCCACGTTGTTTGTCCTCCTTAGGCATAGGCAGAACATCATGGCAGTGGAAGCTTGTGGTAGAGAGAATCGCTTACCTCATGGCAGACAGGAAGCAGAAAGGGAAAAGGACTCAGAACCAAGAATAGCCTTCAGGAGTTTGCTCCCACTGACCACCTTCCTCCAGCAAGACTGCCACCCCCCAAAATGACCACAAATTCCCAAAATAACACTACTAAGTATTAACTCAAGAACCTGTGGGGAGGCGTTTCATACAACTGCAAAGTAGTGGCAAGGGGCCCGAACAAGTTGTTTTCCTTCTCTCAGGATCAATAACCCTAGACGACAGTGTTCCTTCTAAATTGTCTGTCTTCTGCTTTCTCCTTCATCCATCACCTAAAGTGCAAAAAGCAAAAACATCATCTTCGAGAAATAGAGGGAGGGAGATGAAGACTGACACAGGCTCCTGGCCTCCAGGATCCTCCACTGATGCGTTTGGGAGAGATCCAGCCTGGGTCTGCACTGATAGAAGACCTCAGTCAGCAGAAGTTTTAGACACATAGCTGTTTTTTTTTCCCTAGGTGGATCTCCCCAAGAGAGATAGAAAGGAGCAAGGCCAGTGGGGCCAGTGGCCTCGCTTGCTGCCAGGGATTCTAACCCCCTTTGGGAAATGGAGACTTCCCAAAGCATGAGAAATCCCCACATATGAGCCAGGGAGAGGATCCAACAACCCACATTTCTGCTTTGGGCTAGGATGAATACCACCCCTTGAAAAGACTGGCTTTGCAATTACCACCGAATAAACAACCAATTAAAATGTCTCCTCTTCCCCTGCCCCACCCAGTGTCCTCCTCTCATGAAACTTTCTCATTTCTAAGTAATGTAGCAGAGGTGGTTTGCTCTAATAAATTTTGTGTTCTCTGCTGGAGAGATCATTTGATGGAAGTGGGCAAATCAACCAAAAAATAAATAAATAACATGCACAGGACAGCTCCAAAGACGCCCAGGCTCCTTTGTGTTTTCATTCCCCTCTTCGTTACTTCTCTTTTCACAATAGGCCTGGATGAGCTTAAAAGAAAGGATGAGGTGGTGGGAATTGTTAGCAAGTCGAGAATTGCACTTGGACTTGTCACTAGTTATGTGACCTCTGAACCCCTGTTCCTTCATCTGTAAGATGTGGGTAAATGATAATTGCTAAATCTATGCCAGGGTTCTCCCAATGAACATGCCAGCCATTACCCAAACCCAGCCTTTTTCTCTTATTACCTTTCTTAATTCACTGAAAAGCTCTGTGGATGCTGTTCCTTTATCATTCTTGCTCTCTCTATAAAGAAACTTGGACAAAACAAGGTAAATAATTTTCCCAGCATGCCTCAAATATTAACTACAAAATTGGGATTCAGACCTGGGGTGAAGCTTAAGAACTGTCCCCATTACCCATTCTATACATTGATTCAAGTGTCAGAAATGAGACAGACAGCCTGTGTACCCAGAATGCTGCAGATTCAGTAGGAGCTTAATAAATGCTGGCTGTCTCCATCCTCATTCCCATCTCTTATAACAAAGTAGACTTAATAGAATATATGAGTCCTGTGGTTGAAGAAGCCAGATGTGGGTTCCTGGAGAAGGGAATGCAGGAGTAAGACTTTGGATCAATAACTGAGCTTGTGAAGCTATTCCTGGAATTAGCCACTTCAAACCTGTTTCCCACCCCTGACATCTTTTCTTTTGAGAAGCCATCAAAATGAAGGTCACATGAATATTTGGCCTCATGAACTTGGGGCTCCCTATGATGGGAATGGCGAGAATGCTGTAAGTAACGGGTATATTTTATTTATGTCAGGGTATCTCTGTAGGCTTGCAATCCACAAATGTCCTGTGGAGCACCTGATAGCCATGATTAAGCTCAGTGTGGTGATGAGGCAACTGATAGCTCAGAGTTAGAAGTTACTGCATCTGAGGCTGGGACCTAAATATTTGATCTTTTCTTTTTCTGAGCTTAAACTGAATTCTATCTGCATTACTGAGTGTTCACCTGATAACGAACTCTGAGATGAAAACTAGGTAAAAAGAGATGAATATGGTACTTTCCCGGGCCCCAGTTGCCCACTTATAACTTCATCCTAAGATGATTGTTAGGGTACTCATGCAGATCCCTAAAATACAGGACGGCAGCAAAATAGAGGTTGGAAGAAGCATGTGAGAAGAGCATTGCACTATTTAGAAAATGAGCTGCGGAACAATAGGCCTGAAACTGACCCAAAGCAAGGAGCAGGGGTAGCCCCTCCCACTCAGTGTTTCTATTCTGATATGTTTGTAGAGTGTAGCAAAAATGCCCACATAGGCGCTCTTAATCACGTAGGGAGAGCCTGTTATTTGAATCCTACCTTTTGGAGACAGCAATGACAGCCAAGGTTACTTTTTTGTTTCAGGGTCTATTTAGATCATTGGGTCTGTTCTTATTTCTTGAGCACCTAGAATATACCAGTCTCTTTTCAAGGACAGTGTCTGTCTCACTCTGCCTCTCCCTCTTTTTTTCTCTCTTGTTCATTCTCTGCCTCCCTCTCCTCTCTTATTTTTTGTTCTTTCCCACTCTCTCCTGTTCTCTTTCTCTCCCCACCTCTACCTCAGGGTCTCTCCTTTTCTCGGTCCTCTCTGACAAATCTCTATCTGAAAGAAAGGATGACTGTGGCATGAAGACTTGATTCATTTCTAAGGTATGACTGTCTCAGTGACAATAACAGTAACCCCAAACAAGTACCTCCCTTTAGTGTGCTTTACTGACAAAGTTATAGTTTTATAGAATGCAGAGTTGTCTACGGGTGGCAGCATGATGCCTCCATGAGAAGAGAAAGCGTTTCCAAGTTATCCAGAGTTAATCCTGAACTCCAGAGCTGTAACTTTGGCAACCCGTTTAAATACATTGGACTATCTGTTTCTACTTTTAACAACAGTAATGATGCCTCCTCACAGGAGTGATGTAGAAATAACAAAGCACACCTTCTTGGGCAGATGGCTCAAAGTCCATAACGAGGGAATGGAAATAAAAGTCAAGATTAGAATCCATGTTATCTCATTCATAGTCTGCTTTCTTGTTCTCTACTCCTTTTATGTGACCTTCTCCACTAAAATACATAGAAATACATGCATAGAAATACAAACACTGACTGTTGATAAATCTAGATTCAAAACTCAACCCAGATATTCATAAGGCGAACAAACTTGCAAGTCTCTTAAACTCACAAAGACTTTTTTTTCAGTAAAATGGGATAATATATTATCAGAGAAATTAAATGATGTGATACGTATGTAGAATGTAGAAAAAGTGTCACACATAGAGCCCTTAATCATGAGGGGATACCCTGTTATTTGAATACTACCTTCTGGAGACAATGATAACAGTGAAGATTACTTTTGTGTTTCAGAGCCTACTTGGATGTTAATGAGCTAAAGAACATTCTTAGATTGGATGGATCAACACACCTCAATATTTTCTTTGCAAACTCTTCAGAGGAGGGGTTGGCAGGAGTGGCAACTTGGCCATGGGACAAGGAGGCCTTAATGCACTTGGGTGAGTCTCAGACACTCCTTCAGGAGGAACCTGGAGTAAGTCAGTATGAAATTCATTAGTGAGGATGAATTCAACATAGCCATAATGGTTCAGGGAGCAGTGGTGATGTGAATAACCCATTCACTTACCTAATTTACAAAACTCTCTGGTATTCCTGACCTTATTTTATCCACCTCACAATACTCTGAAGAAAATAGCACAATATTATCAGCAACACTTTGCCAATGAGAAAATGCAGACGAAGAGAAGAAATGGGGTTTATCCAATTAGTAGCAGAGACACAGCTGGAATCCAAGCTTCTGACTTTGTCCAGGGTCTGCTTTCTTCTTACATCTCTTTTCCCATAGTTCATGCACACATCTTGGCCTCTAGCTACGGTGTCCTGGGACAACCAAGTCAGGGCTAGCCTAAAAGATACCAAAGAAGCAGTAGAAAATGAATCGGTCGGAACTCCTTACTCTTCCATGTTCTACCCACCAGTACTGAAACTGTGCATCTCAATAAACAACAGATCAGTTTATACAAGCCAATCACTGAAAGCCAGGAATGACAGTGGTTCCTGAACCAAGGCTTGCAAGCAAACATTGTAGTTCTTTAGTTTTGACTTTTTTCCCATCTTCATTCAGTCTAATTCAATATGGAACCATGGAATTTTTATGAGTGCAGACTTAAAATCACAATTACAGGCACTGTTTTCTATTCTTAGTATTTAATGTTATACACCGTCTACATTTTTTCATATTTCAGAAGTCTTATAATTGCATCCTGTCCTGCTTTTTTCACTTAAAATCACAAGAGAAAAAACATTCCCTGAGTTATTTTCACTGTGCTAAAGATGAGATTTTTTTAATAGTCACATAATATTCCACTGAGTAAGGCACTACAATGGATTAAACCTGCTTCCCTTAGTAAAATGTTCTCATTATTTACAACAATGCATTCTGATGACTCAGTGGGCATCATGATTTGAGACTGTCAGGGCTCAGCAGAGTGGCAGTGCTGGCTGTATCCTCTGCCTGGTCATCTTGTGATACACCTGGAGTCTAGTAGCTACCCTACATCTATGGTATTTCGGAGATGAGAGATTCTGCAACTTCAGCTGATGAAAGCTGTGCTAAATAAAACTGTAGACTTAGTTTACTTTAGACTGTTACTATATTTTAATTATTTTAAGGAAATGAAACGTGTATGTGAGTGTTTGTGTGTGTGTTTACAAAAAGCAGTTTCGTAGAAATGAGAAAGACATAAAAAATAAATATCTAAGTGCTCTCAACTGAGGGGAATCTATGCCCGAAAAGATTCTTGTCAATGTCTAGAGACATTTTTGGTCATTATACATGGGGGAATGCCACCAGTATCTACTAAGTAGAAGCAAAACTGCCAAATCTTCTATAATGTCCATAACAAAAATTAGATACTTAAAAATGTCAATAGTGCTTATATCATGAAACCCTGTGATAACTGATAGGGATAGAGAGACATACAGGTACAGACAAGGGATGGGTAGGCAAGAATGTACACCTTAGGCATACTTGAAGATGACTAGTTGTATTACATGTCTAGTATGATTTAGGGAACTGTACCAGCCTAGAGCCAAAATGCATGGCTGTTCATCCTTAGCAGAATGGCCTTAGGCAAGAGTCTTTCTTTCCTCAAGTTTGTTTCCTAAGATTTCTGGAGGCAAGTTAGACTGGAGAGCCTCCTAGGATTTTTCTCAGTTGTGAAATTTGCTCCTACTGAAAACAAACAGAAGGTTCATGATCAGAGTCTGGGGAAGGTTGAACAGCAGGCTTCTAAAGTTAGAGAGAAATATTCCTGATGATTCTATGAATGTCAGAGTCTGGCTCAGGGCCAGGAATAGGGGAACTTATAAATCCATAGCAGGTTATAGTATTTCAGGATGATGTCAGGCTCAAGCTATTTCATCTTTTAAGAGAAGTAATGAAACAGGACTCAGGTCTAGTGCTGTGACTCTGTAGTAAAAGAATGAGTCGGGACAGAACAAACAGCCAGGCTGGACTTTAAGTCTGCTGTCCCATTACCATCCCTAGGCTGGTCCTGCCCCATTACCTTAAAGACATCATGGAGATCAAGGGTCATTAGCACTGTGTAGTTCCTTAGTTTAGAGCTCTCTAGAGAAAGAGTCCGGTTTTCAAGAGCACAAGGCCAGTAAGAGGCAGAAGGAGAATCACAACACGTCACACTGACTATACTGACCTGCAAGCTGCCACCTCCCCATCCTGAAAGAAGCTAATGTAAGACACTCCTGTGCAGTAGCACCAATCAAACTCAATTCATTAGAATCCTATTCTAACCACCTTTCCTGCTGTTACATCATGATCCCTGGACAAAGCCTTGAGTGGGAAGGGGATTGGTTCAGACTATGATTGACAGAAAATAACTGAGAATTATTTCCTGTCTCAATTTCTCTTCTTCCCTGCCTCTGCCTTCCCTGCTCAGAGCCACACACATACATACACACCCACACGTGCTCTCATACATCTTCATTTTTGTGTTAGAAGTCTCCAAGCAATTTAGAATCAATAGATTCTGTGAGCCCCAGGAGTGAGTAAGCTCAGCGCTCTCACAATTCAGTCTACTCCCATCACATCTGCTTTGAGCTTGCCATTCCCGGGCTACAAAAAGCACTCTCTCCTTGCCCTTCTTCCCTAACTGTTCTGTTCTTATAGTCTCCCTTTATAAGGCTCTCCTACCTGAATTTTAGCTTTTCCAATGTCTAAGGCAAACACAGAACAAGTATCATCCATTGCTTCTGCTGAGGTTGGTACCATCTGTCTCCCCTGGCTGAGTGATGCTCCTTCTGGGATGTGTAAGGTAGGCAGTTGTTTTTCAAACCAGAGCATGCAGGCAATTCATCCAGGGCTCTTGTTAATCTCATGTGGGTGGACAACAAGTTGCCATGTGATACATGTCAGGGACTATTCTACCTGCTTAGAAATGACCGACTATACTTCACTACCTTCTTTAGATTCAGCAAATAGCACATACTTAAGCAGTATTCTGTTTTCATTTTGTTGCCGTGATAAAACCCTCTGACCAAAAGCAATCTGGGGAAGAAAAGCCTTATTGAGCTTATACTACCAGCATAATTCACTTTGAAGGGAAGTCGAGTCAGGAACTTGAAGCAGGAACCCGGAGGCAGGAGCCCTGGAGGAGCACTGCTTGCTGACTAGTTCAGTGGCTAGTTCAGTGACATGCTTAGCTACCTTTTACATAGCCCAGGATGATCTGTTCAAGGACTGATGCTACCTACAGTGTGCTAGGCCCTTCTGTATCAATTAATAATCAGGACAATCGCCTAGACCAACCTAATCTAGGCAGTGCCTCAGCTGATGCTTCTTTTCTTAGAAGGCTCTAGATTGTGTCAAGCTGAGGGTAAGCCTAACCCAGACATCAGATACTATATTCCAGTCTCTGTTGTAAACATCAACCACAAAACAGAATAAGAGCCCTGGGCGTAGAACCCAATTACCTTGACTTCAAATTCCAGTTCCGTATTTACTCTTGGTCACAAGCCAGTCACTTAGGCTCTCATTGAGTTATGAAATGATTAAGGAGCTGGTATCCTTTAAAGACTCTGCAGAGCACCTGAGGATGTGTAATAATTGCTCAAGAAACATCAGTTGGTATAAGCACTGTTCTAACAGAGCACTGCCTCTTGCTAGGTTTCCTGAGAGTTCTTGCTTTTAAAGCATCAGAGCTGAAGAAATGGGATTCAGAGGCGGTAATTAACTTGTGTGTTGTCACAGGATTAGTGGAGGCAAAATGAAAGCCAGAACTGAGGTGTATGAAACTGTGCAAGGGTTTCATCCAGATAGGAGCCTTTAGAGTGTGTGTAAAGTACAGCAATTCTTACCTTCTAAGAAATAGGTTACAGAAGAAAGTCTTGTCAGTCCAACCATTGAAATCCCTTACTTCTAGTCCTGTCTTTTCAGTAGATGACATCACCTTAGGTCAGTGCCACTCCTCCACAGGCACATTCGAATCATGAAGAGATGACACAAAGTGATCCTGAAGCCTCTTGGTAGCCCTGGTAATGGTGACTCACCGCACAAGTTGTAACAGCACTTGGGATGGTGGAGTCATAGGGTAGAAGAGACTGTTGTTGTTTTAGGCAGTATCCTTTTATCCTTGATTGACTCGGGGGTTCTTGCAGCAAGAAACAGACACTTGCCTAACACTCTGGTTTTCCCCTTGCAGGCGGCATTGTCTTGAATCCATCTTTCTATGGCATTCCCGGACATACCCACACCATGATCCATGAGATTGGGCACAGCCTGGGCCTCTATCACATCTTCCGTGGCATCTCAGAAATCCAGTCCTGCAGTGACCCATGCATGGAGACAGAGCCCTCCTTTGAAACTGGAGACCTCTGCAATGACACCAACCCAGCCCCTAAACACAAGTTTTGCGGCGACCCAGGACCAGGGAATGACACTTGTGGCTTTCGTAGCTTCTTCAACACTCCTTACAACAACTTCATGAGTTATGCAGGTAGGGCCCTATATATCCCTGGGTGTAGTCTAGTCTGGCACAAGACTGAATGTCGGACTTGGGCTCTAGGCCTGGCTCAGGGTAGCTGTGGACAATCTGCTTATTTTCCTAAAACAGAATTTTCATGCCAATCCATGAGAACAGCATTTCTTCCATGAGCATCTCAGGAGTACAACAAAGACATTACATGTGAATGTTTATCAGAAAGACCCATTTTAGGAAAATTATTTGGACCAAAACCCAGTCACTTTAAGGAGAAGACTTAGAACGATTTGATGTGCTGGGTCATCCCCTCTTACCTCTATTTTCTTAGACAAATACAGACCTTTGAACTTGATCTCCAAAGTTCTTCATGGGTTTCAACTGTAGTTTTCTAAGCTGGTAGATCATTGAAACTTTTTTTATATAACCCAGGTCTCCCTTATATTTTATGTTCATTTACTGCTTCGGGGTCAAAAAAGTTCTTTTTGTCATGCAAACACAGAATTACCATATAAGATTGGGTATGGTGAGGACTCATTCTCTGGGTTCCGGGATGCTCTGTGCTTCCCATGAGCATGTGGTACATCAAGGCTACTTCCACCTTTATCAAACTAGAACAAGGCACCCCTTCTTCAAAGTGGTCACAGCTCTGATCACAGGTCCCTGCAGTCATTGTCTACAATTGTACCTTGTAGGCCAACATCGAATTATCATGTATTATTTTACTCAATTTAGGCATCTATTTTCCCTCTAGAACAAGCAAATTCTATGAAATAAGAGATTACCTCTGTCACTGCATTCTCAGGGGCCAGACATAGTGCCTGGTGCTCAATAAATGTTAGAAAGAAAAGAAGAAAAGAGAGGGAAGGGGAATGGTGAGGAGGGGGAAGAAATTCTCCCTTTCTCATGCAATAGTTTTGGACATGCTGATTTCCCTTACAACAGGCATCAAAAATTAAGCAGAAATGATCTCACTTTACAGATGGCAATACTGAAGTTTCCTGTGGACATTTGCCTCTGATAGCACGTTGGATACCAAGTATTCTTTCCCCTTCCCCTTGTGTTATTCTTTCAAAGAGACGCAGCTGACAATGAGGGGAGGAAATTGAAAAACCTGGGTATCTGTGGCACTCTGCCTCCTACAGTGTGTTGGAGGATGCTCTACTGGCTGTAGGTGGAGGGCTGGTAGTTCCATTGGTGTTTGATCTGAGAAAGTCCCTTCCAACTGTTTTGTATTCGTACTGGAGCATTGAAGCAGGTTGTATTCAAAGAGAGGGTTTTTTTTGCTTAATTTTTTGAGAATTTCATACGTGAGCATTGTATTTGCATCATTTCCCCCCTTCTTCCATTCCTACCCCTCTCACATCCCCCCACTCAATTTTGTGACCTCTTCATTGATTATTATTGTTGCATAGAAAAGATTTTTCTACTGAAATCCAAAGGAGTTGATGATCTCACTGATCCTTCCTGTTTCCCATTCCAGGTGATGATTTCAAGGACTCTTTCTGGGATATGGGTCATATAGTTTAAAAGATGTCTTTTGAAAACTGAATATCCCGCCTCTGGACCTATAAAGGGTCTTTAGGTTTGGCTCTAAATAAAGACTGGCGTGCTGGGTATTTCCTCAAAAGCAGGTTCCCACTGGACTCCCATTCCCAGACACACTAACACTACACATCCGGTGCCCTGTCCTCTTAGGCAGCCGTGCTGACGTTCCATCTCTATAGCACCTTTCCTTGGCCAGCTCAGCACACATGGAAGATAAACAATAACAAGAGTTTGGAAGTTTGCCTGTTCTTAGGGGCCAGGAGCTTCCACCAGCTACCAAACCCCCATAAATTCAATCTTCTTTTTTGTTCTTTTGGGGGGGGGGTTCCTCTTTGTACAGATCTAAAGAGTGATTGATTTACTGTTGTTTTTTTAAAGAATCCTCTCAGCTCAATGACCCATTAACAGCAGAACTAATTCATTGAGCTACGATAACAAACTTACACCCGCAAAAGCATATTCAAGGCAACCACGAGCTTTGAAATGTTTGTTTTCCTTAGGCTCTCTGATAGATGAGGTGGCAAAAGTGTCTGGATGAAATTCAAAATGTGGAACAGAATGAGATTCTCAGGGTAGAAGAAAAGGATGCACATGCACGGGGCCTCCTTCCAGAATAGAGGACAGAGTCATTGCCAGTCAACCTATTTCAGATGCTCTTCCTTCCTGGGTGCTTCTTCCTCAAGCCTAGTTACTAGACCTATACTAAATGGTTAGAGAGCCTCCATCCAACAGATCTTGCTGTGGAGGTAGCCATAGCTTGTGGCTTCCACTTTCCAGTATGGTAGCCACTGGCTATATGTGGCTGCTGAGCACTTTAAATACAACTAGTGTAGCTGAAGGCCTGAATTATTAACTTTAAAACATTTTAAATATCTGGGTATAGTGACATATGACTTTAATCCCAGCACTCGGGAGACAGGGGCAGGTGGATCTCTGTGAGTTTGAGGCTATCCTGGTCTACACGAAGAGTTCCTAATCAACCAGGGCTACACAGTGAGAGCCTGTCTCAAAAATGTTTAATTTATTTTAATTGAAAAGGTCACATGTGCTGGTGGCTATCCTATTGATGTTTAAAAACCAAAAATACTTGAGTACTTGTGGTATGCCAGATACTGCATGTGTAAAATAAACCAAAGAGATAAGTGATATTATCATATCCATTTTACAGATGCAGAAAATATGGCTCACAAGTAACTTGACCAGATCTATGTACATAAAACAAGAAAAAATATGACTTAAACCCGAACCTTTCTCCCTGGGGGCTGTAACTTTCCTGTCCTAAGGAAGGTTGATAGAATTCCTAGTAGTCCAACCAAGCAGGCTACAGGCAACTGATGGGTCAAGAGTGTATCAGCAGAAAGCTCTAGGGGAATGTATTTGTTCTAAACAGTTGGATCAGCCCTTGTCAGATAAATGGGAAGAAAACCTATACCCATTTCCTAAAGATAACAGGCCATACTTTGGTGCTACACAGAGAATACATAAGAGTATAGGAAAAATAGGTGTTCTCCCACCTACTGCCTCTGGTACCATCTTTATATGTGCCCAAGCCTTTTGATATGCACACATACTTTGACCCAAGCCATCCATCCTATCTTTAAGGAATATACCTGCAGCAAATAAATCAATTGATATGTGTAAAGATTGAGCTCTAAGAACGTTCTTAACAATGTTCATTCTCCAAATATTTATTAGGTGTTTATTATATACTTGACACAGAACATAAATGTTTCTATAGGTGAAAAATTTTAAATGACTTACACACTCAGAGATGATGGATTCCAGAGATAAAGTGCAAGACATTGACAGGATAGAACACTATGGTGCCATTGAGCATGATATAGCTTATAGCTGAGGGTCGTGATTGGAAGCTGAATGACAGACTCATCAGAGCATAGACCCAGTGTCAAGAATTTGAGCTTGGATTTTCTGTGTTCCAGTATTAGATCCTAGGCAAGTTACTGTTTGTCAGAACCTCCTTTATTTTATCAATTCATGGAGAATAATTGCTCTTACCTTGCTTGAGTGATAATAGGTAGAATCATACAAACAAAGATGTTAGAATTGCCCTTGGTATGATAATTAATATTTGACAAATGATAATTAGCCTGATTACTTGTTATGGAAAGGGCCACAGTATATACATAGTGTAGGACATATATATTATGAGGATTACAAAAATTTATTATTTCACATCCACAATATGCATGTCTATATGTATATATGTATACACACACATATATACACACATATGTATTAGATACCAGTTGTATTATTTCCTAGCAATGAACTTAGGGTGATGTTCAATTTTTTGTATATTTAAATATTCTGTAGTGAATATAGCCTTTCTAATCATTTATTGCCAGGACTATTATTATTATTTGAGAAAGCAAACCAAAAAAAGGCAGTCTTACAAAAAGTGATTCATTTATTCATTAAGATGGTTAAATGTTCCCATTAGTTCTATGGGGGACACACCATCATCATTTCTCCATTTACAGTGGGTAGAAATGCAGCTTCCAGAGCCAGAATTTCATCCAAGGTTCTACAAGTATTAGAGTCCCTGAGCGCCTGTTCTGCACCTCTATGCACTGCACCCTTCCAGCTTCAGGTAGAAATTTATTCCTGAGAACAAGTCTCTTGTGGCCAGTCCAGAACACTTCATAAGTAACGTGGCAGCTTGAGGGAGCCTCTTCAAGAGACCCTTCTACTTAGAGACAACATGGGAACACAGGGGCATGATGGGTCAATTGATCTTGGAGGTCTAGATGAAGGGACCACCGAGAGTGGGAGAGGAGATGTTTGGGTCTAGAAGCCAAGTGGGGCTGACTTTAGACATTAGCTGATTGAGACAGAGTGTTTGTGATGAATGGAATCCCTTTGGGATGTCGCCCAAGAAGCAGTAAGTCTCTGTGATGTAACAGAGGGCATTTGTGGGCATTTTCCAGCATCAGCAATAAATTTCAAATGCATTTCTGTTTCTTACTAACTTATGTCAGCTATCCATTTTCAAAGTCTTTCCTATTGATGAATATGGAAATGGTTAAGATTTAAAATATAAAAGGAAAGCAGAACCTTTCTCTTTTTTGAAGAAAAAAATCAAATAGTTGAGAGTCTTATGAAGAAAAAATTTTGTATGTTTATCTTCACTCATTGTGGTAAATGCTTTTGTGCCCACCCACGTCAATGGATCCTTACCATCACTCTATGAGTTGAAGTTGATTTAAATGTCTCCCATTTATATATGAAGAAACCAATATATAAAGTTAAGGAGGGGGTGGTAGTGCTCAGTTAGTATTTTATGTTTGTACTTAAAATTTATAGTTAATCCCCATTAATGAAGAGATGTGTTAATACTTTTACTATCATAAGCAGGAATTCAAGAGTTTTCCTTACACAATTATTTACCTCATGTCTGTCATGAACATCTCTGTTTAGAGCTCATGGGGTAACCACTAGATCAGAAAGAATGCATATTTTACATTCTGAGCTTTTCGTTCTCCCTTCTTTCCGCTTTCTAACACACACATACATGCACACACATGCATGAGGGCACATAACTTCACACACTTTTCCCAAACACAAGGTCATGAGCATTTGCTGGGCATTGCTGTGAAGTACATACTGTTCCTGTGCCCCACATTCCAGCTTAGCCATATTCTGAGATGAACCCTCTTATTATAGTCATTATCCTCAGATAGGAAAATGAGACACCAAGGGCACAAAGTCACTTGATCTTTTGACTCTGTGTTGTGTACATCATACTTCTTCCCTGAGTCATCACGCCTTCCACCTGCATCTAATCTACTTGGTGACTTATAGCAGGCTTTCGTGTACAGAACATAGCAATGAAGAAAAATTTACCTATTATCTGAGCCTTCTCAGATAGAGGTGTTTATATGCCTGGCCTTAGATAGCCTCAGCATGTGTGATATTTAGGGACTTTCACAGTGCATCTGAGGTTGAGAGAGATTTACTCAGTCACTCCTGTATAGTGTTTATTAAGGAACACCAAGCTCTTCTGCTTCTGCCAAATGTCCTAAGGCTTTCCCCAGGGTGCTGGAAAGAAGACTTCAAAAAATTACTAAGGGAACTAAAGCAGTTTCTGTATATAAACTCCCTCACACCCTTGTCTGTTCCCCTCATGGTCATGTTTAACTGTCCAGCACCTCCCTGAACTTATTTTCTGCATGCTTGATAAAGAGAAATGAGTTTATGCTCCTGAATTCTCAGAAGCACGTTTATTTTTGAGATCTGGTGAGCTCCAGGTTTCTCTGTCTAGGGCTCGGCTGTGGTTTATTCTAAGTGGATACCCCTGAGAAGTGGTGTTTGGGAAGCCAACCCAAACAGTGCCTTTTTCTGCCCCTAGAAAAACTGAATCACACTGTTAATAAGAGAAAAGGGAGGCCAGCCTTTTCCCTAGGGCTGGGTCTTGGGTGTCTGCCTCCAGTCCACACCCTGGAAAAGAAAGAGTAGGATTGAAGGTCATTGGATCTAAAGACACCTGAGAGATTGCTTTCCAATCTCCCTTAGACTACTCTGGGCTCTACTTACCTTATCAGTCACCAACTGGATGGAGACTTTATCCACACTAGATTTCATTTGCACTCAGAAAGAAAGGTATAGGCTGTTTAGAAGCAGAGCCTCGGTTCAAGCTCCAGATATATTTAGCTCTGTGACCTAGGAATAGTTGCCAGACGGCACACAGCCTCAGTTTCCAACTCTGTAAGATGGAGAAAATAACCATATGTTATCCAAAAAAAAAAAAAAAATAGTGTGTTTTTGGAGAATGAGAGTATCTGCCCAAAGAATGGTATACCATGCCTGGTTCATACTTAGCACATGCTAAGTATATGTCCCACAGACATACGTACATATGGACAGTGAAGAAAATATTGTTGTTGTACTCATCCTGTACACAGCTGGTATCACCATTGCCTGACCCTGCCCTGGCCTGGGTCCTGCCAGGACACCATGCCTCTAGCTGGGTGACCCTTACTCTAGTGCCACTATCCTCCTCAGCCTCTGCCCTGTGATCTGATTGGCTTTCTTCTATGCTTTCCTAGTTGACTCTCATTCCCACTCTGCCATCTCCCTCCATTCACTGCTAGTCTACACCACAGATGCTAGTGGTCTTAGAACACCCTTCACTCATTCCTTAAATTGATCAATAGCTCCTTCAAGGAAGGACCATTTTAAGTTTGCATTCCACTCTCTTGACATAGAGAACTGAATATGAGTATGAATGAGTGCCTGGACATCATACATTTGTTTGAGGAGCAATGTCATTGCATTAAAGGAACGTAGAATTGATGAATATATGAATGAATTAAGGTAACAGAATACATCGGGGAGCTAGTGAGCACATGAATGAATGAATCAATATATGAATGAATGAAGAGTGAGTGAGAGGGGAGAGTAGGAAGGTATTGTTGACGTAGGCACCAGAGGATGCGGAGTCCCTGGAAAGCAGCTTTTCTGCCCTTGTCCTTAGCCATGACCTCTTGGCAGCTCTCTCATCAGTCTCGGGCTTACTTTTCCAGTTCAACTCCCACCCTCCCCTTCCTCCTGTTTCCTCTCACCTGTCTCCAGGAGTGATGACTGCACTAATTTGTTCACAGACCATTAACTCCTGAGCACTGGAAGAGGCTGGCCTGAGCTGGCGAAGACAGACTGGGGTGCTGGCTCTCTGGCTGCCTGGAGACGTCACCCTCCTCTCGCATGCCTGCATGCGGCTTTAGGCTTATCTCTCCCTCTGACTCTTGCAGATGACGACTGTACGGACTCCTTCACGCCCAATCAAGTCTCCAGAATGCACTGTTACCTGGACCTGGTGTACCAGAGCTGGCAGCCCTCCAGAAAGCCAGCGCCTGTCGCTCTTGCCCCTGAGGTTGTGGGCCACACCGTGGACTCTGTGATACTGGAGTGGTTTCCACCCATCGATGGCCACTTCTTTGAAAGGTGAGTCTGTGGAGTGTTGATCCCTCTCTCCTCCTGCCAAGAAGAAGGAGACTTGGAAAGGAGGTTGCCTTGGAGCAAAATTTGCTGGGCTTCTTGTTTTTGTTGAACAGATGTGCCCAGCACTGGGCAATGAGTTGTACCCAAAGGTACACTGAAAAGTTTGGGTCAGAGAATAAAAGAATGATTACTAACAGAAATGAGCCAATAATGATGCATGCTTTTAGCTGAATGGTTGTTTAGATTTGCTTTATTATTAGAAACTGGGAACTTCTCTGCTAGAATCTCTTTTGCTCTTGTCTCCATTAGCTTCGGAGTTGAAACTGCCTCTGGCTAATGGGAAATAGCCCTCACATTATACATATAATTCACATTATAAATTAAAACATATATATATATGTGCATGTGCATCAGCATCAAGATTTGTGAATGCGTGTGTATAGTATATAATCATATTTGTACCCAGTGTTTGTGGAACTGAGGGTTGAATTTTGAGAAAACCAGGGAATACTAAGGCATAAGATAGCCCAGTTCTGATCCCTCATCTGTTGTTAGTAAACCACGTGCCACTGGACATGTCACTTCCCCCCATAAGCCTTAACTCTCCTCCCTGAAAATGGGCCTGATGAGGCCACAGTGGTCAGGAGGTGGAGACCTAAATTCAATGGCTTCTGGTGTGTTCTTTCACAATGTAGTTGCCCAAGGAGCTCAAGATTTGAGAGAACCAGAAGTTAAAAAAAAATGCTTATTGGCTAGGTGCAGCTCAGTGAGTATAGCACTTGCCCAATGTGTATGAGGCCAAGAACCCAACCCCCAGCCACCATCACTGCAAAACAAAAATAAATATTCATGAAAAATGTTAATATGTTTCAGAATTTTGCTATTTTTCAGGTAATATCTCACTCCCACCCTCAATCCTTCTTGGGATGTGTATCCAGCAATCGTGATATAACATTGATGATGGTAATGATAGCCACGTTAATCATTAATTTGTGTTTCTCTACTGAGGTTACATCTTTCTGTCAAGTTCTTACCTTGTGATAGATTCTGCACTAAATGCTTCATGTACAGAGTCTCATTAAACATTCACAATAACCCAGAGGAAAAATGGGTCATTTTCTTCATGTGCCAAATAGGGAGAGAATTGAAGGAAAAAGAGCCTGAGAAATTTGCCCAAGAGCCCATAGAAAGGAGTGGAGTTTAGATTCCAACTCACAATTCAGAATGCCTTGACTGTGAATCCCATGAACTTTCATTATGTTGTTCAAACTCTAGACTTATGAGGGAGGTATTATGCTTCCCCACAAAAGAGCCACCAAAGGTGACCAAGAGCTCTCATTTACAAGTTGTGCATACATGTGTTTTGTATGTGTAGGAAAAACATAAGTAAAAGAACTCAATGGAGATTTTTCAAAGGGAAAATGTAAATAACTAATGCATACATTTTTAAATGTTCAATATCACTATTTACTAGGAAAATTACTAGTCACATCTGTAATGAGTTACCACCTCACATTCTTTTGATGGCTATTCTCAAAAAGACAGGAAAACAAAGGACTGGAGAGATGGTTCCGTGGTTTAAAACACTTGCTCTTCTCTCAGAGCACCCAGGTTTGATTTCTGGCACACACATGGCTAATAACTGTTACTCCAGTTCCAAGGCATCCAATGCCCTCTGCAGGTCTCTGTGGAGCATTGCATGCACGTGGTACACTTACATACGTGCATGCCAAACACTTATACACATTATAAAAAAAAAAAAAGACATTAAAAAAAAGTTGAGAAGGCTTTGCAGAAAAGGGAATCATGTACACTGTTGGTGAGAATGCCAGTTAATACAGTCACTACTGAGAACAATATGGAGGCATCTCACACAACTGAAATATAACCGTCTGATCCAGCATGTTAGTTGCTCTTCTGTTGCTATGATATGGAAGGAAGTGTTTATTTTTGTTTATGGTTTCAGAGATATAGGAGTTCATTATGACAGAGAGCCATGGCAGCAAGTGGCAGGCATGTAACAGATACTGAAAGTTGAGAGCTCACACTTCCAACAGCAATCACAAACCAGAGAGGGCAAACTGGAAGTGAATCAAGACTACGAACTCTCAAAACTCTCACCAAGTAACAGACTTCTTCCACCAAGGCCACACCTCCTAAACCTTAACCAATAGAGCCATCAACTAGAAACCAAGTATTCAAATATTTGAGCCTGTGGGGGACATTCTCATTCAAACCATCACATCCAGCTCTCTTGCTACTGGACACATATCCAAAAGAATTGAAATTAAAGGCCTAGGAGATAACTCAGTGGTTAAAGAACTTGCCTGCAAGCATGAAGACCAGATCAGACCCCCAGAAATACAGTAAATGCTAGAAAGCCATGGCAGCTTGCCTGTAATTCCAGCCTAGGAGAGTGGAGGCACGGACCCCCCCCACCCCAGAGCAGGTTGGCCAGCAAGACTATATCAGTGAGTTCTTGGTTTGGTTGATAGACTTTGCCCCAGTGAATAAGGTACAAAAGCAATGGAGGATGATTCCTGATATCACCCTCAGGCCTCCACATGTAGGTGTACACACATGTACATGAACCTACATGTATACCCCTAGCATGCAAAAAACATGAACACATACACACCTACACACTATACACACACACACACACACACACACACACACGATAAATGTGAGAGGTGATAGGTTTGCTCGTGACCCTCATTTACTCATTATAAACCAATATGAAAGCATTATCTAATAAGCATACAAAATATTTATCAATTAAAAATAAACTTTTAAAAATTAAAAACGCATTATACCATGATATGGCATAAAATTTGGAATCTAATTTTGTATATCACTATCAGTCCCTGAATCTAGAACCTTCCTTTGGCAGCCACCAGAGAAAGAAAGGAAGTGCACTCCCTCAGCGCCTGGCTCCCAGTAGGAACTCCCTTTCCCTGGCCCCAGCTGCCCTCTTAGAGCTCAGAGCTGGGTTTGGGAAACCTCATGTGACACTTGAGAGTAAGCTTTCCAGCAGCCTGTAGATTTATTTATTTTTTCTGTGGTGATGAGAAGTATCAGACTTTTGGTCAAGCCTTGGCCTCGACTCTACTTAAAAATGGAAGTTTTATAAATGAAGTTTCCTGTGTATGTATTCAATTTGTATTTCATAAAGCAGTTATTGTCCATTAAATAAATTCCATCTGATTGTTGGAAACCTATTAGAGGGTTAATTGTTGTGTAATGAGATATGTCTCTATTGCATCGTACCCTTAGCTTCAATCAATATGTTTTTAATATCCTATAGTCAGTTGGTACTTGGGGCTCATACAATAGCTATTCTGTTCAGGGTACGATTTCATAATGGAGTTATCACAAGCTAAATTGAAGCTGACATTTTTGAAACATGTCTAATTAAGGTTAGCAGCTATGTAGACCATAGTCTATAGCGAAAGGAAGTTGGTCCACAAGTATCAAGAAATTGTTGTAAAGAAGTGGAAATACACTTTAAATGCATCGCATGCTCACAAGCAGGGAGTTTATACTCCTGCACATTGGCTTAGTTTGAGGCACACACACTGTGATGTCCAGTCATATCTTTTCCCTCCTCAACTTCATTGCTCCCAGTGGACAGGACCCCGGGTGAGTCATCTTAGGCCTCTGATCCTCTGAGTCCTTCCATACAAAGGTGCTAATGGTGCCCATATTACCTGCATTTTGTAGGACTTCAGCAAATGACATCTACGATGTGCCAAGCACAAATATTTTACACTCAATAAATGCTAGCTTCTATCTTGTGCAATATTTTCCAAAGCTCTTTAGCTTCTTGAAAATTCCCTTTCCCTTGAAAACCTCTGGTGTTTTCCACGTCATCCATCAATGCCAGTGTCTCCTTCCTGGCCATGCTCGTGTCCTCCTGCTGTTCTCACATCTGTGGTCTAGGAGAACACAAGGGCTTCCCTTACAAAAACATTCAGATCCTCCCACAGTCTATGTCCTCACACATAGGCAACTGAATAAATAATTCAAGGCCACCCCTGGTTTCTCCAACTCCTTTATTTTTATCTGTCTTGCAAACATATGTGTTAACTGGTTGGTTTCAGTTATCTGAACAATTGGTTATAGAAAGAGTACTGGGCTAGGAACTATGAGACCAGTGTCTGAAGTCTTTGCAAATGCATCTATCCCCTCTGCTTCTTGATCTTCAGTTTTCTGATCAGTAAGCCAAAGGGGTTTGGTCTTTCTCAGCCAGGATTTTCTTTTTCATGTCTCTGAGAAAATAATGAGTAACTTTTTTCTGCAAAGATGGTACCTACTAGTGCCAATCTAATTGCAAAGGAGAGAAGCTACTTCACTTTATCTAGACTTGTTTAGAGAAGCACTGTTCAATAGGACTTTATGCAATAATGATAATGTTCTATATCCACACCTAGCAAGGTAGTAACCTCTTAACTGTGGCTATGACTCACTTGAAATATGACAGATGTGACCAAGTTCAGGATTTTAAAATATATTTCATGTTAGTTAATTTAAAGTTAAAAAGTCACATGTGGCTACTAGGCTCAATATTGAGTAGCGCAGACTTACAGCTTTGAATTTTGACTCACATAACCTGAGTACAAAAGTTGATCTGTCCCAACATTAGCATTCTCCAATGGTATGATTTCATTGTGTGTGTGTGTGTGTGTGTGTGTGTGAGAGAGAGAGAGAGAGAGAGAGCGAGAGAGAGAGAGAGAGAGAGAGAGAGAGAGAGAGAGAGAAAGAGAATACAAGTGTCTGTGAAAATCAAATAAATGTCAGACACAGGAATGCATGCACTCCCTGGATGTGTAGGGCACCACACACCATATTTGCTGTTGCTCACTCATCAGATGTCTGTTAAGAACTCGGTGAAGTATAGGAGACACCATGGACTTCAATAGCTACCATGTCTCTCTATTTCCCTTAGATATTTTCTTTGTGGTGGTATACACAACTGACCAGCATGCTAACAAACACCCCTCCTTAGCATATGAGCCCAGAAGCACAAAGGTTCCCTGTTAGGGGAACCCTGTGGCTTGAAATCCAGCTCTGCTATTGTGTCTTTGCAGATAACTAGAGCAGTAATAGAAGGGTAATCAGCAGGGCTGATGCATTTTGAAAAATGACGGGTTGGGCTGGGACATTTCTTGACATCATCTAGAAATCCAGTTGCCGGTGCCTGGGCAGGCATCTCAGATCTGCAGATTTTTAGGTCCAAAAGAATACAGAAGACTCATTCCTCTGCCTTCCCCACAACTGTCTTCTAAATAGACGCCAAACTTAGAGAACAAGTAGGAACCCAGAGACTGTTATAGCCAAAGGAAGATTGAATCCAGATACTCCAGACGGTAGGGGAAGCCACCATAATATTCCACGTCTGGGACTGGTCCCATTGAGAGATTGGCTCACCCCCTGGAAAGCTGCTAAAATGAATTAGATGGCACAGTAAAGAAACTGCTTTTGACTGTTAAATTGCAAATGACTCATTCATCCCCAGAACATCAGGGCTGGAAGGTTTCTTAGGCATCCTCTCATCCTCTCACTTTCTGGTAAAGGAGCCATGCCTTCATGTTTAATGCCTATGGTACAGGACGGTTCCTGGCCCATAGTAGGTACCTGGAAAATATTGTTAAGGGAGTTGTTTTGGAGGACAAAATGGGACAAAAGAAGTTCTTACAACCATGTGGGAAATTCTCAGTGAAGCTTTTCATACCAAATGCAATTAAAATTATTGTAGGTAGAGTTCTAGCCTGTTGAATCTGTGCTACTTAACATCAGAGAAATGTGTGTGTGTGTGTGTGTGTGTGTGTGTGTCTCTGTGTGTCTGTGTCTGTGTGTGTGTGTGTCTGTGTGTCTGTGTCTGTGTCGTCTGTGTCTGTGTCTGTGTCTGTGTGATCAGAACAGAAGCCACTTAGAACCAAACAAAATCCAAAGCAAGAGGGGGAATTTCATTTATAGACATTTTCCTGAAGTCTTGGCTTATATATGGAGAACATGGAATAACACAGACTGTGTCCTCTGTCCCATTGCTTTGGCCCCAATCCCATCAGATGCCCACTCAACTGTTCCTAAGTCAGTATATTTCTCCTCTTTCCTTCGCCTCCTAGAGAATTGGGATCAGCATGTGACCTTTGCCTTGAAGGGAGAATCCTGGTGCAGTATGCGTTCAATGCCTCCTCCCCAATGCCCTGTGGCCCATCAGGACACTGGAGCCCTCGGGAAGCAGAAGGTAAGCCAGGATCTAGATTCTTATTAACAGGTGGGGTTTTCAGAAAACAGTTTTCTCCAACCCAATCTCATTTCTTAATGGTCTTTCTTATATAATGTCTTGTTTAATCTTAAGATTCTTTGCAAGGACAGTGTTCATGCATTCATTCTTTTTGCAAATACTTTTCAACACACACTGTTCTAAGTATGCTATTCTCTGGTTACATATGAGGAAATAAAGGCACCATGATATTAAATAAGGGCCAAAGGCACACAGTACATCAAAATACTCATGTAACTTGCAGGCTCTAGCTGCCTATTGGTACATTAGAGTTAATGTACATATCTGGGGACTTCAAAGCATCAGTCATCTTTGATTCTTCTTCAGTTATTTCGAAGACTGTGGGTCATACTTGTGTACGTCTAACCCATTCCTTTTCATTTTTTCCATGTACCCTCTTATTTGGAAGACACAGGAGGGCATCACCTCCTGGTTGCCCCTGTCTCGGCCTCCACACATGGTCAGATCTTGTCCCAAGTGACCAATGACTGAGCTTCCTCATAACATCTTTGTTTTGTTTAGAAAACAGCTTCTATGTCTTATAGAAACATAATATCTTTAGACAGATCTTCATGGTTACACTCTGTCACTTGCCCCTGAAACCAAGCTGACAGAGATCCTGTGCCTTCCTCTCTATATTCTACCTCCCTTTCCCTGACCTGGGAGACTTATACATTGTTCTAATTCACTTTGCTGTTGCTCTGATAAATGCCATGACAAAAAGTAGCTTGGGAAGACAAGAGCATAGTTCATCTTACACTTCTAGGTAGCAGTTCATCAGCTAGGCAGGAACCTGGAGACAGACACCGAAACAGAGACAGTAGAGGACCTCTGTTTTTTGGCCTACTCTCTCTTTGGCTTGTCCAGACCCACCTACCTAAGAATCCACAGTGGACTGGGCCCTTCTATATCAATTAGCAATCAAGAAAGCACCGCACAGACAGATCTACAAGCCAAACTAATCGAGGCAATCTCTCAATTGAGACTCCCTCAGATAACTCTGGGCTGTGTTAAGATGAAAGCTGAAGTTAACTTGTGGGCATGTTGACCCTGTCATACCCCCAGGCCCTCTTGCAGGTCAGTTGGAACCAACAGTCACTGGGCGAGACACCCTCACATCAGTTCAACAGAGGAGCAGAATTCATCCCCTTGTAGAACAGCAGTGAGCTTTCCTCCTCTGTCCTCTATATTTTTAGAAAGAGGGTTGGAAAAGAAAAGCCAGAGATAGACTAAAGCAAAGGAAAAGGATCAGAGAGGAAAGTTGAAAAATGATGGCACTGTGCTTTATTTTCTAAAGTAGCTTAAAATAAAAATGAGAGTTGAACTCAGGCACTCTAAACAAATCCATCTGGATGTAAAGCAGAGAGATGTCTGGGAGGACCCCTCAGCTCAGCCCCGCAGAATCACAGGCTGTCAGACTTAGATGAGACACCTGGGGACACAAAGCTCCTGTCCCTACCCCGTGAGGAATCCCAATGAATTTCCTCACCAAGGTATGCCCTAGCTTTTTAGAAAGTTCTTCCTGGCTCTGCAATCACAATTTCCCCATCAAATGAAACCATTTTGGTATCTCTCAGAAGAAGCTATGCATCTCTGACACCACACCACACTTTGCATACTTACACGGGTGTACCTGCCTTTACCTATGTCTGCCACAGGATCTAGATGTTGGGCCTGGCCACAAGCGCATGGTTGAAACTGTGCTGATGATCCACCACGAGGGAGTGAGATAAGCAAACGTGTGATTACCATGCAGTGAAAGAGCCCAAGCTGATCAAAGTAGAGGGCTAAGGATCCAGTAGAAAGGGGCCCTCACTCAGGACTACAGGCCTAGGCTTCCCACTAAATGTCACAGAGCACACTGGAGCACTTTAAACAAAATGCCTTAGTTTTTACTTACAATGTGATAGCTACTAATAGAAATAGATTACTCAAGCAAAAGGTCCTCAATAATGCTATGTGCGTTTAGGGGGATTTACCTATGAACAGCATGGTAAGAGTGGCAGCTGTTGTACAGGTGAGGTACATAGTGTTCATATGAGTTTGGATTCACGCTGAGACCAGGGAGAGGACACCATGTACTTTGGACAGAGTAGAGCATAGGTTCATAAACTGTGGGTTGAAATTCCATATAGGGTCAGGTGATTAAATGTGAGGATTGCATAACATTTGGCAACAGTAAATGGTTTCTGAACATGCATTCGCCAAAAATTAACTCAGTCAAACATGTAATGAATCCTAGGTATTTCTGGCAACAATAGCCCATGTTACATTATACAGGATCACTTCAGCCCTAATTCTGAACATACATGCATTTTGGAATGCTCAAGTCTTCACACCGTTTAAGCCAATGAATGTTACTTTAAAACCCCTTAGATTTAAGATTATTCTGTGCTATGAATTGTAGTGTTTTTACTGTTTGTACACAGTGTTTGGCTCACATATAAACATAGTGGTTTAATTACAGAAAACAAAGACTTAATATTCTCCTACTGTCGTGTCTCAGCATGTACCAAATTGGTTTGTCTTTGGCTTGTACTGTGTTACAAATGCTTGACTTAAAAAAAATACGTTCAAGTTGCTGACTTAAGTTTCATTAAGAAAAATAAAGTATTAACTGGGTTTTGGCTTGGGATTAAGACAGAATTTCCAAAAACTTTTGAAATGGCCCTAAACAGACACCTGCCATTCCTGTGATTCATATTTATGCCCCATAATATTCTCAGCACTAACGACTATAAAATCAAAATATTGATCAGCTCTGAAAAACACTGAAGGTACTCTCTATGTCTTAAAATACCAAATATTCAGGGAAAATTTAATCTTTTATGTTAAAAAGCATATCCATCTCATTAGTGTGCAGATTTACTTTTGTCTTTGATAAATGATAACATTATATGTATACAATAGAATTCTTTTAAAGGAAATTCCTTACGATTGATTATCAAGAAATGTTTGATTTATATATACCCATTTTGTTTGTGATTTTTGTGAGTTTTTAAATATTTTATGTGTATGAGAGTTTTGCCCGTGTATATCTGAGAGTACCACATCATACAGTGATGACAGAGGCCAGAAGAGGGCATTGAATGCCCTGAAACTGGAGTTACAGTTGTTAGTGCCATGTGGGTGTTGGGAATGGAACTCAAGTCTTCTGTGACAGCAACCAGTGCTCTTAACCACAGAGCTATCTCTCCAGCCCCACATACAGCATTTTGTCTACCTGTATACCAGGCATTACATAAAAATCTCAAGTGAAGGGGCTGGAGAGAAGGCTCAGTGTTTAAGAGCACTGACTGCTCTTGCAGAGGACCCGGGTTCAATTCCTAGCACCCACATGGCGGCTACAAACTGTCATTAACTCCAGTTCCAGGGGAATCAGAAGCCCTCTTCTGACCTCCGCAACGTTGCACAACATGCATGTACTCACATACGTGCAGGCAATACACTCATACACATAAAATTTTAAAGAATCATAAATAAGTTTTTTTAATTTTTAAATTTTTTTTAAATCTCAGGTGAAAAGTTGCAGTTGAACAGAGTTTAAGAATCCTTAGTGTAAGTTTTGTGGTAAGACACACAAGTTTCTAAGATTGCTCCAGCAGCTCTGTATAAAACAGATTAAAGGATGAAGGTTCTGGAAGAAAGGAAGCAGTTTATGGTTGTTGCCAGAATCCAAATGAGCAATGGTGGTTACTCCTGGTGGTCTATGCAGTGAGGACAGAGAAAAGATGCTCTTGTGAGATAATTGGGTCGTAGGATCAACAAGGCTCTCCCTTTACTAAAACTATCTTGTTTCCTTTTTCTACTTGTTTGAGTCACATAATGTCCAGATATCTCTACACACCTCATCCAAACCAACTGTCAGTCAGTGAAGTCTGTTCTTGGCTTGTCCCTGCTCTCTTAAAGTGTGGCATGTGGTTCATAATGAAGCCCAAGTGAGGAGCCCCTGGTTTCTGAGCTGACTCAAGTCATTGAGGACTACCCAGCACCTCCTATATAAATTTAGTACATTCAGGCCAGGAAAAGACACTGTTCTTTTTTTAGTTTCCTATTAAAGGCTCTGTGATCTGTTTGGCTCAGACCTTTTTAATATCCTTGAAGAAATAAACTTTTCCATGAGCCAAACTCTGAATTTATTTCTCAACTCATTTTCATCCTATTTATCTTTGTGTGTTTAAGTTTTTGGACTTCCCAAACTAACAGAAAACTCCCAAGTTCATGCGCAATGACAGATATAGCTGTGGGTTTGAGGGAAAAAATATGGGGCAGGATTAAAGGAGTGGACCTTGGTCCTAGTCCTGGCATTGACATAGTTTGTTCCTTTCAATGAGTTCCTAAATATCTCTGAACATGGTGTCTTATCATAGAATGGACATTTGAACTCTAGTGTCCTTACTTTTCCTATGTCCATATTAATAAGAGAGAAAGTTCTTCTTTTTAAAGACCTTTCTTGAATATCTACTGTACTCCATCCATTTAATAGCACAGTGTAAAGAACTTGCCTTTGTTTACAGAAAGTAGATATACTGTTGTCACTTAAGCAAAATCTATATTTCATAGATACATATTTTTTGAAATATTAACCATGTTATGCTCATAACCCAGGAATAAGATGGTTGAATCTCATAGACACAAACTCCACTTAAGACCATGTATTCAAGTACAGGTTTCAGAGTGATAGGTTTTCCATGACAGATTGGCACGTGGTACCAGCTGTTTTCATTTCCTTTCTTGTTTGTGTGCGTTTTCTCTCTATTTTTCTTCTAGACTATTTCAGGTGTGCTGAAACAGGCATCTGGAAAAAAATCTTGGCACCATATCTACATTCATGTCAACAGCTGCAGTGTGTATACACTTAAACATATAATAGGAGTCTCTATAGATCTTCATAAATGTAAATTTGGATAAGCATACTATGTATAAATATATTGCTATACATATCTATGGCCTTATTCCTAGTGGACTGCTTATATAAACAGGGACTTTTCCATTTAGTCACATATATACAAAAGAATATGTATTACTAATGAAGTAACAGGACCTTTGTACCTCACTTGCTCTGTCTTCCTTTCCTCCCTTTACCTCTTTTTCCTTCCCTCATTTACTTCCTTCCTTCCTCCTTCTCTTCCTTATTTTATTTCTTCATTTCCTTTTCTCAGCATGTCTCTGTCTCACAACCACATAACAGTCAGTCTCACAGCTGTGCCCACTTTTCCTTCTTAGAAATTTTAACTCATGATCTCTAATGGTCCTTTTGTCCAAACTGTAGATGAGTAGTCCAGTAGTATAATACTAATAGTGTAAGAATCTCCTAACTGACTTTGCAAGGCCAGAAGCTCCATGAACACAAAAAACACAACTGAAAACAAAACCTGTTCCCCCCAGAGACTAGCCGAACACTGCACACAGACCCACCATTTAGTCATTGTTCTTTCAATGCATAGACATATAGATAGATGAATAATGGATGGATAGATGAATGGAAGGAAGGAAGGAAGGAAGGAAGGAAGGAAGGAAGGAAGGGAGGAAGGAGGGAAGGAAGGAAGGAAGGAAGGAAGGAAGGAAGGAAGGAAGGAAGGAAGGAAGGAAGGAAGGAAGGAAGGAAGGAAGGAAGGAAGGAAGGAAGGAAGGAAGGAAGGAAGGAAGGAAGGAAGGAAGGAAGGAAGGAAGGAAGGAAGGAAGGAAGGAAGGAAGGAAGGAAGGAACAACTTAGGTTACATAAGACCCTGTTTCAAAAGGAAGGAAGGAAGGAAGGAAGGAAGGAAGGAAGGAAGGAAGGAAGGAGGGAAGGAAGGACAGATGGATGGGTTGATGAAATGACAGATTGATAGACAGTTGTAAGGACGAGTACACAGACAGATGGAGGATTAATGAAATGATGGATGGATAGTATTTATTCTCTAAATAATGATTTTCCTAAAAGACAAATTTTATGTCACTTATCTATTTAAAATTTATCAGATCCTCTTCACCTATCTTAGTATAAAATATAGTTTCCTTGATATGACATACAAAGCACTTCCCAATGTGAGTTCTACTTAACCCTGCCAGGAGCGTCTGCTCTTCTTTTGTGAAACCATGGTCATCTTAACTGACGTTCTTTCTCAACTCTTGTCTTGGCTTGAAACACCTCCTCCTACTAATATTTTCCTTTCTAATTCCTCGTTCTTTTTCAATACAGAGCTAGTATGTTCATGAGCATCTACTACTAAAGGGCTCATTCCATTCACACTTAACAACTAAGGTAGCTGTACAGTGGGTAACACAACCAGAAGCTGAACAGTCCACATTTAACCCAACTACTGTTGCTTCAAATCCTGGCACACTGCCTGGACTAACAACTTCACATAATATTCTGCTCCTTACAAGAGGATTGCTTAGCCATCAGAAGCTCATTTTTCTCTTCTGTAAAATGAGTTTAGTAATACGTGCATCATAGACTTGTTGTCAGAATGAAGAGAGCTGAGGCGTGCACTGTGTTTGGCTGTGCACATAGAGGATGCTCAGTTGATGAAGCTGGTATTATTAATGGGCTTGCTGCTTGGTGATGGGTTGGACTTCATGACTCTTAGGGCTCTTTTTTAATATCTAAGGGTCTGTCTTTAATAACCAAACAAGTTCAAGCTTTGCTAAAATTTCTACTTCCATTTGCCTACTTGAGCTTAATGACCAGACTCACCTGTCCTTTGGAAAGTATTTGGTCTCTCTGTTTACTAACAAGAAAACAAAGAAAGATGAGCCAAACAGATTTCTCATCTTTTCTATCCTGTGGCTTCTTACCACTGGCAGTCATTTTCTCCAAGGAGCCGATAAAAATCACTTTATACCTTGCCAACTCAGGGAAAAACATATGGAGGGTGCAGCACCCATCACTGGACAGCAGACTCCAAAATTCCATGCTGTAACTTCTTTTTGTAATATTATATCTGCAAGAGAGAATTGTTCTTTAACAAATACTGACCAAATATCTACTATGTGCAATCTCAGACCAAGCACTATATTAATCAAAGGTGCATGACTAAAGTAGATGTGTAAAACAGAGACAGCAATGGTAATTATCTTTCAGGATTTTGAATTAGTTGAATTAACTAATAACTAAGGACTATTCATCACGTATTATGCACTCTTGGCATTGATGTGTGCAGAATGAATAAGAGAGCCATGTGCCCTCACAATCCATACTTAAGAGTCAAGAATTCACTGGGTTGGAGACTAGACAGGAAGAAGGCTTTACATAAGTAAGAAGTCATTGTTCTTAAACTAAGAGTTACTTCTAGCCAGCAGTTGCTGTGGGTGATGGATAATAAACCTAGTCAAGGTAGGGTAAAAGTTATCTTGTAGTAGTATTTCTCGCTTCTCAATCTAGTGCGTTATTTATGGAATGTATTTGTGTGATTTTTCTTGTCCCCCTTTCTTTTCTTTTCTTCCTCTATTTTTCATTTCTACTTGATGGCATCTCTCTTCTATGTCTATGGACAGAGACAAAGATGTAGTGGAAATCAACAGCCTTCATGGTAATAAAATCCCCCCAACCCACACCCAAATAGCTTTTCAATGCTTATGTTATGGCTATTCCTGCTAGCCTGTAACATTATCACAAACATTTTCAGACTAATATGGCTTTTTTTCTTTCCTGATTTATAAATATTCAACATGCTCTCTCCCACACATATACACACCACCACTGCACAACAACCACCACCACCAGCGGTAACAACCAATAACACTGAAGGAAAAAAAACAATAAAGAATATGGCTAATAAGACTTGGGATTCTTTCATCCTGGCTTCACCAGTAATCTCTGTCTCTCTCAATAAGAGCAAATCACCATATTGAGCTCTGATTACTTTTCTCGGCAGCACAATGGAGAGCTCTCTGAAGGTCTAGATGTGACCTCAGCAGAAAAGAATTTAGAAGTTGCTGTACACTGAGGTCAGTGGAGATGAAGCACCCCCTCCCTGGGAAGAAGAGCAGTAGACTCCTTCCTTCCTTCCTTCTCCTCCTCTTCACCCCCTCCCCCATTCCTGAGTCAAACTGGACAGAACTCAGAGAAGCTCTGTGGTATGGGATGACCTCATGTAGGCAAGAGGAGGAGGAGAGATAAGATGACCCCAAGTCTGTCTTGCAGCTCTGTCATTCACAGTTCAGTTTCCTCCCAGACCTTCTGGCTAGGGGTATAGCCTATCTTTGCTTACCCCCTCTGTGGTGTGTTTTCTTGTGCTCTGTCAGTCCCAGTAGGCTGGGCCAAAGTTAATAACACAACATGATCCCTTCATCTAACAGGAGCTTTATGGTGTATGCCTTTGCTCAATTTACCCTGTGCTTTTGAGCCTTAATAGCCTCACTTATAAAATGAGTTCATGCAAGAATCAAACAAGCTCATGGGACAAAGAGGTACTCAACAGAATGTCTCTCTTTCTATGCAAGGCAGCAAAGCTTCTAAGCAAGATTAGGAAGGAAAGTCTCAGCATTAATAGTAAAACCCTTGAATAGTTTCAAATGTCTGGTGATTCATCTGAGATCTGTTTTGCAATGAGCTGAGTGACTGATCCATATAAGCAGATTTTTCATTTATTTATTTATTTATTTATTTATTTATTTAATTTTAATTTTATGTGTATGGGTGTATTGCCTGCCTGTAGGTAAGTGCACCCGTGCTGTGCAGTGCCTGCGGAGGTCAGAAGAGGCTGTCGGATCCCCTGAAACTGGAGTTACAGACAGTTGTTAGCTGCCATGTGGGTGCTGGGAATCAAACCCAGGTCCTCCGTAAGAGCAGTCCGAGCTTATAAGCAGATTTTACATGACACAGATCTACTCTCTCTTTTGTCTCTCTAAATTCTCAATAGGCTAATCTTTTCTGGAGTCTGCAGGAAGCTCTGAAGCCCTAGATGAAATTCTTCCTTAATAACTGTTTTGCATCTCTCTTTTCCACAGGTCACCCAGATGTTGAACAACCCTGTAAGTCCAGTGTCCGAACCTGGAGTCCAAATTCAGCTGTCAACCCACACACGGTCCCTCCAGCCTGTCCTGAGCCGCAAGGCTGCTACCTCGAGCTGGAATTCCAATATCCCCTGGTCCCAGAGTCTCTGACCATCTGGGTGACCTTTGTCTCTACTGACTGGGACTCTAGCGGAGCTGTCAATGATATCAAACTATTGACTATCAGTGGAAAGAACATCTCTCTGGGACCTCAGAATGTCTTCTGTGATGTTCCACTGACCATCAGACTCCGGGATGTGGGTGAAGAGGTTCATGGCATCCAGATCTATACTCTAGATGAACACCTGGAGATTGATGCAGCCATGCTGACCTCCGTTGCAGATAGCCCACTCTGCCTGGAGTGTAAACCCTTACAGTATAAAGTGGTCCGAGATCCTCCTCTCCAGGAAGATGTGGCCTCACTAGTGCACCTCAACAGAAGGTTTATGGACATGTAAGTGCATTCTCCATATAAGAAACTGGTCAAAGGGATAGGCTGTGGAGGGATGTAAGGAAAATTAGAAGATCTGGGCTTGTAGAAGAAAGTTCAGTTCAGTCAGACTTACTTGTTGGGGTTGTGGTTCAGTGTTAAATGTAGACTTGTGTTAGCATGGCAGAGCTGATATGCTAGGGAGGGCTACAGTGTAATCAAAGGGCTTGGGTTCAAATTCATGTCTGCTATGTGACTCTTACTTCACTTCAGCCTCTCTAAAATTTGTACCAACAGAAAATGAAAGAGATGGAATGTGAATAGCATGAAAAACTCCTTTTCTGTTAATGCAAAGGGGAGAACTGAAGGGTGCTAATGAGTTACGTAAACTTGAAGCAGATGCACGCGTTCTGACCGCTTCTCTAGAATACAGAAATGTGTGCTGTCGAAGCAGGCTTTGGTGGGAATTGGGTCCACTCCTAGACACCTTCATTACACTTTTCTGGATGTTGAATACCTCTAGTCATGGTCCTTATTTTTGACTTATTTCCTAAGATAGAAAAGAAGTCCTATCCTCTTGGATTATTGAGGGTCTTACAGTTCTAGGAGCTCATGACTGCTTTGTGGGCAAAGAAGGAATGCTTACTGATTTCATGTGATGTGGTCCTTGTCTTCACTTTCTTTTCCCTTTCCAAATATCCTGGATATATGTTTTTATGAGTTAGATGCCTTATGAGGAGTTCATTATTGTGTTCTTTTCTGTGGTTATCAGCTTTCTATTGCTGTGAAAAAATTAGATAAATGAAGATAAAGGTTTATTTTGCCTCCAATTTCAGAACTTTTAGTCCATAATCACTTGGAGACATTGTGACTGACCTATTGCTACAGGCAGGCAAAATAAAACATCATGGCATGGAATACATGGCAGGCAAGAGCTGCCCACTTTGTAGGGGCCTGGCAGCAAAGAGAGCTTTTTTCATCATAAGGTCCATTCTCCAAAGTCCAATAAACTTTGAATCCAGAAATATATTAATGCTTTATGACATCGAAGCCTTCGTATTCTAATCACCTCCCTAAGTCCGCTTTGAACACTTGTGCTTTGGGAACTAAATCTTTAATTGATAAGCTCTAGGGGGACATTTGAGATCCAAACTAGAACCTTCTGTCTACCAGACAGAGGCCTAAAGTCTGTGTTATTTACTCATTTGATCCACCTCACCACCACAGTGCTACTGCCATTATCATTTTACAAAGAAGGAGAATGAGATTTGTGGGTGTGACGTTACTTGTTTGAGATCACCCATTTAGAGAGTTAGGAGATCAAGACTGAAACTGCATCCCAACTCCTAAGCTAGTAAAACCAACTTGTATTCAGCCAAAGATGTGAGTTTTTAACTTCTCTTTCAGTTTAAAAGATGATGGAGATTTAATGACTTAATTTGGGGTTCAAAAGTCTCTGCAGTCAATCATCAACCCTTGTTTAAACACCTCCTATGACCAAGGGACACTAGTGGAGAATATTTTGACTAATGCTAATGACAAAGGCTGGAGGCAGATGCTTTGTGTCCAGCTCTAGTGTGCTCCCTTACTAATGCTAGATAAATCAGTCAACGTTGAGCATCAATTTTTCCTCTGCATGATGAAAATACTGAACTCTGTGATTTCTATAAGCTTTGTGGCTATCAGTTTGGTTCTAAGATGATATAAGGTATAATCTTTACTCTGTTGAAAATATTTACTAAGCCAATCATTAATGGAAACCAAGCTCTGGAAGGAAACTTTTAATCTTTTTAAGAGACAGAACCACTTTCAAACACTTTAGCAGCAGCTCCTTTTAAATGCCAGCAATTAATGTGCATATCTCAAGCAAACCTTTGCCCATTCATTGAATCAGATGAAGAACATCTGTTTAAGAACTTAGGGGGAGCACTTGGTTTGTGTTTGAGAATGTACTTAAAATTTAAGTACATTGTCTTGCCATGAAAATATTCCATGACCCTGTCTCTTGCATCTCCCCACTTGTCTGGAGTTGGTAAAGTTCTATAAATATGCATCCACTTAAGATTTCTTTGTAAAATAGAGGAAAGAAATAATAGATGCCTTAAAGCCTCAGTTTAAAACACCTTTCATTTTTTACCTTGATTTATGAGCATGAAAGAGCTGACATGGGTTGATAAGTGTGGAATGGTAGAAATTAAACGAAAGGAAAAATACCCTGAATTCTGTTCTCAGCTAAGACACTGATTTTCTCAATGGTCTTAGGTAGTCACTTACTCTTTCTGGTCTTTAAATGCCTCAGTTCTACAAAAGAGAGTTTATACTCCAATAGTAGTCCTCAGACTCAGTTGCCCACTTCAAAATCTTGAGATGTTTTGAATTGCCTGCCTCTCGCCTTCTATCCCCCTGCCTTCCTCCCAATATCGAGTAATTCGTATGAGTAAAGCTTGACCACCAGGAATTGTAAAATCTCAAAAAGCAATTAATATATGTAATTAATCTTCAGACCCCCTACACTAAAATGTGCTCTTAAGATGTGGCCCTAGATCAGCAACACCAGCCTCACTTGGGAACTTAGAAAGGCCAGGTTCTCAGGCCCTGGGCAGCCTACCGAATCAGAAATTCCATGTGCAGGGCCTCACCAGTTGATTCTGCTGCTGGTTAAAGTTTAACAGCTGCTTCTCCTGATGATCTCTAAGACTCAGAAATCTCCAAGTTCTCTTTCACCCCCAGAGCTATGCATTCAATTTTCAAATATGATTGGAGAATATTCTGTGTAGCAGAGTCTATACTGGAAAGTGGGTATTCTAAGGATGACTCAGACCTGTCCTTTTTCTGGAAGTGTCCAACCTGAGTGATGAGTAGAGGACTTTCCTTCCCTGATAAAAATAGCAATGCCTGTGCTGCTTTATTTCCAGATTCATCACCATTATGATCCCACCCTAAGGGACCATTTGTTCCTTCATTTGCCAACCAAACATTTCAGTCCATGGTATGTGACAAATGCCAGTGCTAGATACAGACACTGTTTGGCCTTCCTGCATGTATGTAAGTGCACCCATGTCATGCACTTTCCACGGAGGTCAAAAGAGAGCATCAGATCCCTTGGAACTGAAGTTAAGGACAGTTGTTAGCTGCCATGTTGGTGCTGGGTACTGAATGTGGGTCCTCTGCAAGAGGAGCCAGTGCTCTTAACCACTGAGTCATTTCTCCAGCCCCTTCTTTGTCTCTCTTGAGTCTCAAGGAGTTTATTGGAGACCAGTTCAGGGAAATGCTGGGCTTCCTCACCTGAATAGCCTCTGAGTCACTGAAGAATAAAACAAAAACACATCATTTCAAGTAGGTCTACCATTTGAACGCTTCCTTTATCTCTTGGTAATTTTAGTCCTGAACTCTACCACAAATACCTCTGTGTGTGTGTGTGTGTGTGTGTGTGTGTGTGTGTGTGTGTGTTTGCTGCTTTTGCATTTTCCCATATCAAATAAATTGGCTTCAATACAAGTTCTATATAAAGGCTCTTTTGGAAAAAAGGGGAGAGAGAGGAAAAAATGCTTTCTTTTTCTTTTCTGACTCAACCCATTACGTGATTCCCTTTGACCTTTGTCTTCATTTTTTTCTCCCAACAAAAATATTTATTCTTTCTGTTATCTACACTAGAGATAGTTTTCTAAGGTATGACATTGATGAAGAGAGAGCCTTCAATGCTTACTCCACAGAAGTTTCTGGTCGACTGATTACTCTTGGCCAGGACAAGGGAGAAATGTGGAATGTTTCCATCTCCCTAAAGCCAAAACCCCTCAGTTGAATGAGAATAAGTATAATCAGGATTAAAGAGTACCAGCATCAACTCTACTATTAACTAACATCACTCTCCATGTGACACCAAGGCACACTGCATTACCTTTTGGGTCTCAAGTTCTATACCTATAAAATGAAGGGTCAGTGCATTAAGATTTTCTCTGTGAGTAGACACAGACAAGGTGGCTTAGGTGATAAGCAAGTTTTACACTTAATTATACTAAAAGGGATTCAACAGAGATAGTTTAGAATAATGAATTCTCAAGAGATCCTCAGTGGCTCCAAATATCTTACTGAAATGTGCTATGCCCAATACCAATCATTTACTATTTACAATGCTTTAAGTGCCTTGTAAGTGCTTAAGAAGTCAGAAAGTTGAAACTCAAAATGATTTAGCCAGCCTTCAATGGCTAGTAATAGATGAGCCAAGTTTAAAATCCACATCTGATTCCAGATTCTACCTTTCTAACTACCATCGTAATACTCTTGTAATCAGAAGGTCGAATTTGAGAGCTTGAGAACTGCATCTAACCCGTCCAAATTTCTAGTCACAACAGGTAGAGTATAGAAAATTATAAGCCAGAAGCTACTACCCCACAATCAGCTCCTGTGACCTGCCTTTGGTGTCAAAAAATACACATTACATGGAATTGGAGAGACAGCTCAGTGGTTAAAAGTATTGGCTACTCTTGCAAAGGACCCAGGTTTGGTTCTCAGCACCCACATGGAGGCTAAAAACTGTAACCCCAAGTATTTCGTGGGTATATGGCAATGAACAGAGCAGAAAAAGTCCTTGCTTTCTTTGATTCTTACAATGCCTTGGGGAAGACAAAAAAGAACCATGGACTCATGTAACAGGACAGAACCAATATGTGATGTGATGTTAAGCCTCAAAGATTTGTAACATTTAGCTTAATTCAGGGTCAGCTGAAGGCACAGGTGGCTCCCGCAGGCTGTTTCTATGGCTCTTAAGAGGAGTCACCACTACATCTTCTTTCTTTTTGTGGGTTTTTCTGTTTATCAGCCAGCAACCCATTCTTTGTCATTATAGGTTTTCATTTGCTCATTCATCCACTAAATCATCAAAATCCAACACAACTGTATTCAGTGATGCTTGTTTTATTTAAAAATATTGCTAAGTGTCCGTTTTGTGCCATATGCTGTGTTAGAACTAGGCATCTGACTCTAGTTAATCCATGACTCCATCCACTCCATCGGCACCATTTAAA